ACCAACATCTGGTGAAAATTTCATGTCATTAGCACCTCTAGTAATATATTTACTGAGAAAAATGGTGACGTGTTCAATACTTATTTTACCCGCTGTACGATCATGTGCTTCACCTGACTGGGGGCAACCCCATTAGCTGTGGAATGAGCTACCCCTCCAACTTAGACAGTCCTCTTTGCTGGCTGTTTTTAAAACTCATTTTAAAATGCACTTTGGCTTTTGGTACTGTGTAAGGGGTTGTGTTGTCCAAACTACATACAGTATTTTTCTTGTTTACATGATTATGGTCTTKTCATTTGTCCTGATGTGTAAAAATAATAATAGAATTTACAATATATTTTCTAGCTTTATAATGTCACCTTCACTGGCCATAAAGGTTTCTGGAAAGGCCTTGAAAAGGCCCACGGACCAGCAGTTGCTAATCACAGTTGTAGCTTGTTTTGTGGCTCTCGACACATTTTATTAGTGAGATAAGGAGCAGAAATGGCTCTTTTGATTGTAAAAGTAGCAGACCCCTGCCATAGTGTGTCACATTGTTGATATATGATTTTTTTTTCCCTCATCTTCTCTTGTGTGGTTTTTAGTTTTTTCTTTGGTAAATTTAGAACAACTTTGTCTCTGTTGCTGCATGACCTGTACACGGTACACCTGTTCCCCTATGTTTGTCATGTGTGTCTTCATGAATGGGTGTTTTTAACTGTTTGCACAGCACCTTGTGAATTTATTTCTGTGAAAGGTGCTATATAAATAAAATTTTACTTACTTACTTATTTACCATTAGGCTACASTAGCAGTTATGTTTGGTGAAAGTTGCAAACCCAATAATGCAGAATCAAACTCAGAGAACTCAAGATTGGAAGGTAAAAATTAAGCATGTTATTAACTTAAAAGAAGACAAACAAAAAGCAGACAATGCCTCAAAATGCTCAGTGGAAAAATTCTCCGTAAGATCTCAGAGGAAAACAAAAACATGAACAGTTTACAAACACAATGAACAACGCTGGACAAACAAAAGCATTTAAAGAGACACTGACGACTGACTGAAGTTTAACAAACACACAGTGGGAAGATAATGAGGATCAAACTGTGACAGAAGTGCTGTAAAAAGTAGCAGCTTTTCTCATATGAGTTTGCAAATATTCTTAGAATACTACGTTTTATGCTTTTAATTAGTCCCATGCACCCCCCCCCCCCCCACACACACACACACACACACACACCCACACACACACACACACACACACACCCGCGAGGGTAGCATTGCACTTTTTTTATTAACCTAAGTTTTCTTTGTTAAACATAGATGTGTAGTATTTGTAGAAATGTAAGAATCTTGGCTAAAAACTCATAAAAACCATGTCTACCTCCACCAGACAGTTAAAATGAGAAGCAGTTGAAGAAAACCCCTTGGAGCTTAAGGGGTTAAAACGAGTTTGCATGAACAGCTGTGAAACCTTTGAGACAACAGTTATTTTAAAAGGCCAGAAATCCACTTTGACAAGACATTAGCTCATCAGTAAAAAAGTGACCTATTTTTCTTCAATCTGTGGTTGTTCAAAGAGCCATCTACAACAGGTAAGATATTAACTGTACATAACCTTTTCAAAGATGTTCCCTTCAAAAAAATCTGAGCTATTGCTTTATTGTGTGTATTATATCAAAATGTTTAGTTTTTATCCTCTTCATAAACTAAAAGCCTTTATTCATCTTAACAAGTTTAGTGGCTATTTTTCTATTTTTCTGTCCCACTTTAATTTTTTGTATTTATGTCACATCGGCCCATCAATTCCCTCCAGGCTGTGCACTTTTTTTTTGATATCCCTGTTTACCTCTTTTTCCAATCATGCTGTAGCGTGGGAAGCCTGGCAGGCTTCTCTGAGGTCCCAAAAGGAGGCCGTCTTTCACCCACTGCACAGTCCCCGAGGCCCTCAGGACCTCACACTTCAGCACAGCTGTGGCTCCCATCCGCACAGTCAGGTTCCTGGGCTCAGTCCTGAACGCCTGCTGGGCGCGTGTGCCTGGGGGCATTCAAAATAAATAAATAATAAAAATAATAAAAAGCAGAAATGAGGGTGAAGGAATGGATGAAGGAATGAGAGTGGAGTTTCTATAGAAGAGATTGAAAGGAACGAGAACCCACTGTGTTAGCAGAGAAAGAAATGATGCAGATACAGCACGACATAAACATACACCACAGGGATGCAGTCCTGTGATCTTTTTTTTTTCTGAGAAGACCCCCCACCCTATTCACCCATTGTATGTGGCCACATTATTCATTCTGGCATATGTTTTATTGATGGTAAACTGCAGTGATACGGCTCTGAAAATGAGTCAATAATGTAATTACGCTAAATTAAATCTCCCCTCGGCCATGTACGTAGAATCCAGGGAGGGGTGAAATAAGAAGAAAAAAAAGCAATGGGTACCAGAGACCTTATTCACCTGTGGTTTTTCTTCAAYGTCAATGTCCCACTTGCTAATTCCTCCTRGGAAGAGTAATGATTATTACTTTAATCCCCCTTGTTTGTCATATGTAGTGTTGACCATCCTTCACCCAGACGGTGAAGGGAAATKCATTGCTTCAGTGCGCTTGAATCAGAAAGGTAACCTTAAAAGCAGGCCAGCTATCAGTCCCAAGCACCAAGCCTGGGATTATATGATTGCCTGTACACAGCAGTTTATGAATAAATTCACTTYGAGAGAGCCAAGTGCAAATACTTACTCCAATTAGCTCCAAATATCAAAGCGCGAGCCTCGTTTTAAACAATGCCCTGCAGAGGAGCCGGCCCYGATTCCACCGGGTTACTTAAATCCTGACCTTCGTTGGAGCAATGACCAAGTTGTTTGTGAAGCGCACGCTCTATCGCATCTGACAACATGAGTGAGAGGCAGCGCTCTCAGATCAAGGCTGATCCAGTCACCTCACGTCAAATATGAAGGGCAAGATTGGCCATTACAGAAGGTGCATACAAACAATCAAACACAGAAGCCTTTTTTGCATCCAGTTTACATAAATGAATACTCAAAGTGATCCAAAAAGGCTGCGCTTATCTAAAAAGAGGATRACGGCACGTCAGTTTGAATTGATATCCCTTTTTTATGTCTTAAAACGTGTTCTAACTCTAGTAATTCTAACAGACTGAATTTACTAAATATTTTAGTTTTAGTTTATTTTGTAACTTAAGAGGCTTTTATCGAATTCTAAGAGGTCAATTTTTTATTTAGTGTCCATTGTTGTGTCTCAGTATATTTTTCATGGTTTCCCTTAAGTTACTGTCAGCCATTATGATTAAATGAGTCAGTTTCATCCAAAAGGTTTGACCGTAAACAGCAACAGAGCTGGTCTAACATTCTCAGGGCCTGATTTACWAAAGGTTTGCATGTTTAAAAAAATGCTAACTTTATAGCCCACACAAAGCTGATTTATATACGGTGTGTGAAATGAGCCAAATGGCAGGTGCAATCCATTTAGTACGTTTGCCTTCATGAATATGCAAAATACATGATAATTATCAGAATGTGCCAAATACAGGGAAGAGGATGCAATCATTTAGTTATGAACAAATGTCTGCGAGTGGGAAAGAGGCATAGCTACAATAATAGATGACGGAGAGAAGGAATGTTCTGTGCTCATGTCAACGTCTTTGGACTGTCAAAAATAAAACTACTAGAGACATGTCGTCTATCCAGCTATGACATTTTTGATTTACTGGAGAACGTAAGTCACGTGACAGCAGAAAAGACCTGTTACTTTTCCCCACCTTTTGTACCAAATTAATCTGAGAAGTTGATCAGCCCATGTTTATTTTTCCGTAAGGAAGACTATCAAATGGCTACACCAAAATCCGGTTCACAACATTCAAACTTTCTGCCATTATGTGCAGCTTGCTACCTAGCTAGCTCGCTAGCTGGGACTGGCGTGAGGCTAGAGTGAAGTGTGTCCGTCTGTGAGTGCTTTGTGACGGTGAAGGGGCTCAGCAGCACCTGCTGGACAGAAACTGTGACAGAAGTCAGTAAGAGTGATAGAAGTCTTGTCTCCAAACACAAGCAGCTACAAAAAATACCACACCAGAAATAGAAGCTTGATTTGTCGCTAGTCATTTTTAATAAGGAAAATGCCGCTAAGAGGATTAATAAAGTCTCCGGTTCAACTCAGAACAGAATGAAACTAAAAAATGCTAGCACTTACACCAAAAGATCGCTGATTYGCTCATTTYGCTGTCAATCAAAAAGGGATTCAGCCTCAGACAGATCATCCCATCATCATGCAGAAGCTGTGCGTCCGGGCCARCCGAGGCCAGCCCACTGCCAGCCGAGGCCAGCCCACTGCCCCATAGACCCCSAGAGACGCTGAGCGTCTGATGGGCAGGACAAAGCCAGCATTTGTCCAATGACTCGTSYCRTTTCGCTCAACTCTTTGCATCACTATTGAACTCTGTGGACACTGTTTAAAGCACTAAGAACTGCAGGAATGAGTGAGAGGAAGCCAYGTCGTTACCAGTGATAATGAGCTGATTCTGAACAAAAGTTGAACATGTTGTAGKKCATATTTARTCAATGACATGTACACACAACAGTATAGATTTGATCACTTATATTTTTAACATTTGCAGTCTTAGAGCAATCGCCTCTGAAGTCATGCCACGTTTTCTATGGAAGAACTCCTTGCAACACTGCATTTTCTTGTGTCCTCCTTTCTCCACCTATAGTCCTCCAAGTCCAAGTCTTTGAACAGCCACTCTGCTCCCCCAAACACGCAAAACCCACATTTCAATAGGGCGGCTGATCTGCTTTGCTTTTGCACCTGCTATCATGTGTGAATTTGTGTGTGAATGAATGATGCTTGAAAATTGTAAAGAGTATTTGAGGGTCTCGAAAAGCCCTATAAGATTAATACATTATTATTATCATTTGARCATAAATCTTTGTAGATCACCCGCAACACGCCCAATAATAGCATGTGCAATTTCTTTGTTTGCGCATGCAATTTAGCGCTCACTATACAGGATCTTCGTGGATCAGGCCCTCAGTGCTGAGTAATTTCCTGGAAATTCCCTGTTTTTCTCCATCTTGTTGRCAAAGATGGCTTWWWWTTKTKWTWT